CCAGACAAGCCATCCCCAGGAGGCGTGGGAGGAGAGGGAGGAATGGGTGGGACAGAAAATGCAGGCACCCAGTCGGTTGGGAGGCCTCCGCAGGCGCTCCTTGAGTAAAGGCCTCTCCCTGAGCCTGGTGTCAATCAGGATTAGGAAGGAAATGAGTGCTTCCAGCTCCACAGGCAGTTCCTTGGCTGCAATCTCGTCCTTCAACGCATCAGAAAGGCCATGAGAAAAAGCAGCCACCAGGGCCTCATTATTCCAGCCCACCTCTGCCACCAGGGTACGAAACTCTATGGCGTACTCGGCAACGGTCCATGAACCCTGATTCATGGACATGAGCAGCTTGAAAGCTGAGACGGAGCGAGCCGGCACGTCGAATACCCTACGGAAGGCGTCGACAAAACCGGAAAACTCGTGAATCACCGGGTCATTCCTCTCCCATAAGGGATTTGCCCAGGCCAAGGCCTTGTCTGAGAGCAGTGAGATTAGGAAGCCCACCTTTGACCTCTCAGTAGGAAAAGCGTGGGGTATTAACTTAAAATAAATGCCCACCTGGTTGAGGAACCCATGACACTGACTCGGCTCACCCCCAAAGTGCTGTGGAAGAGGGGCTGAACCAGTCATACCTCTGGGCGCAGCGGCAGCCGCGGCGGAAGGCACAACAACTGGAGCAGCAGCGTGGGCGACCACCGGAGTGACAACCAGCCTAATAGCACCAAGAGCAAGGTGCGCGGTGCGTGCAAGCAGAGTCTGCAACTCCTAAGTGAACTGATCCAACAGGAGATCCTGTTGATCAAGTCTGGCGACTAACATGGGAAGCGAAGGCGTACCTGCACCGTCAGGATTCATGGCATTCGTGTAATGTCAGGGCAGGAACTGTGGAATGGACAGGCAGGCCTAATGGCAGGGTCCCGCACCGACTGATGACAACCACCACCCACAGACCGGAGTCCCTCAGGGCGCAGAGTCTAAGCCCCAGGCTGTCCTTCACCAGGGCGCCTGATGGTGGGGATGGACTTGACGCAGCCAGGGACCAGGTCGCAGCCCCCGAGTAACCCCAGCTGTAGTAATGGCCGCTGCCAATGGCGTATAGCTGGTAGGAACCAGATAAGAACGATAGCGTAGTCAGACAGGCCGGGTCGATAACAGCGGGACAGACAGTACAGAACGGTAGACAAGAATACACAGGTCACAAGCCGGGTTCAGCAACGGGAGGTCAGATAAAGGGATAAGGCTGAGAATAGTCTTAGACAAAGCCAAGTCAGTTTCCAGGAGAGCCACGAGAGTAGAACAAGAGCTTGCAACAACACTATCATACAGGACACGAATGCAAAGAGCAAGTGCAGACAACAGGCTTAAATGTGATCAACCACACACCTCTGAGGGATGGACCGCAGAGGCCTGAAAGCATAAAAGGCTCCCACCATGCTTTGCAGAAACCCAAGATGGATGCCAACAAATGGAGCAGCATACCCTCTGGGAAAAGGTAGGACCTTGACATTTGCGTACCCGTGTAGCAGTATTGCTACTATAGGGCGGTGTGGAAGCGGTTAAACATGTCCAGTAGAAAAAAAAATTAAAATCAAATATTATCATAAATTTAGGTCCTGCTACATGTCTTTACTAAAAAAAAATCCAATTAATGTTTATGTGAATTTTTTTTTTTTTTTTTTTTTTAAGTCCGCAAACGTGGAACTGTAACGAAAAAACCCGTAAGTGTCCGCAAAAAAAAAAGTTTCCGTGCATCAGTGCAGAAACACACACACGAAAAACGTGCACTTAGGGGTGTGTTTGTGTCCTACCCCCTAAAGGGTTGGACCGTTCACCCGATCCCCCGGGGCACGAAGCTCCTGACAGGGACAAGGTTTGGTTGTAAACAAAGCAGCCCATTTGGTCCTCCTGGCCAAAAAAGGCCTGGTGGACCACCGTTCCTTATGCCCAGCCGAAGCCGGACATCCAGGGGGTTCTACTAGGCAGGGGAGGACACCCCATAGCTTCAGCTAGAAGATACTCTAGGCATTACGTGGGGAAAAACTGGTGTGTTCCCGAAGAGAAAAAACCCCTAGGGATCAGGGAGGAAGGAAAGGCCCCAAAAATCATTATGGCCCACACCGCTACTCCTCCCCCTAGACTTCAGGTAAGGCCCGAGGACCCACACCCTCCATCCGTGAAAAACACACACATAAGAAAGCAAAAAGTGACAAAACGTGGGAGTGGTTTAAATAAATAGAATAAAATAAAAAAGTGGTACCGTGCCTAATAGTGCACAGACCAGGCCTGAGGCCTGTAGCAAAAATTGCCCTGGACTTAGCCAAAAGACCTGGTGGTCCTTAGGGCGCTGTGCAAAAAGAGGTGAAAAACAGTGGCCATGTGTCATCTTCACACCGTGGGGTCCCACACCCAAGTGTTACTAGTGACACCCCTGAGAGCGTCTTCCCCAGGGGGAGCATGTTTGCGGACTTTTTTGACCCACCAGGCCAGACCAAGGTTTTTGCAAACCAGCTGAGGGTCAACCTGGTTTAAATTAAATAGAATAAAATAAAAAAGTGGTTACAGGCCAGACCAAGGTAGCCTGCTCAAACCAGGGAGGGTAAACTGGGTCTTTCCGGTCTCCCCAGAGGAATTACTCCCCAAGGCCCCAGAACGAATCATGGCGCTCCCTGGTTTCTGTCCCTCCGGTACTAGCCTTCCGGACCCCCATCATACCAGTGAGGGTACTATACAACAACCATCCTCTTACCAGAATGGTCGGTAGCACCCTCACTGGACACTGATAAGAACAGATACTACACTTGATCTTAGCCAAAAGGCCCGAGAAGCGATTAATTGGTTTATGTGAAAGTTATAGCGTTTACAAATGGTGGTATAGATACTGGAATTTTCTTTTTCTAGTAATAATGACATCAACCAGTGACTTATAGGGACTGCGGTGGGCATTCTGACACTAGGGGGAACTGACTTGGTGTCACTGACATCCCAGTGACACCAAACCGTGATCAGTGCTTAAAAAAAGCACTGACACTGTACTAATGGCACTGGGCAGGAAGGGGTTATTATGAGGGGAGATCAAAGGGTTAACTGTGTGCTGGGAGTGTTTTCCTAGGGGGCGGGGGTGTGTGCTTCACTGTAAGCACAGTGGGGGGCTGTGCATCCAGAGCAGTGTGCCCAAACTGACAGGGAGGAGGATTGTTGGTAAACAAAGCAGCCCTCCTCCCCATTGGTGATTGTCGGTAATCACTGGGCACCGGCGGGTAATCACCGTCTGGGACCCGGTGATTGACAGCCGTGGCTGCGAATGGCTCGCACGCACCCCCTACCCAGAAATACAAAATCACGTATATATACGTGATTTTGTGCACCCGTGTTGCCCTGTAGCAGTATTTCTGCTATAGAGCGGTTGGGAACCGTTAAAAAAAAGCCCAAAAAAGGGTTCCATCATTGTAATCCATTGCTAATCATGGCGTCCAGCATTGCCACGACGATGCTGACTCCCCGAAATGAAAAAAAAAAAAACAATGCCCTCCGACCCGTCGGCATCTGCTGAGCACTCACTGCAATCTCACATTTGCTGGTCAGATGTAAACAATTGGGCAGCTAGCTAGCTCCACCAATTTGTTCTGTGATTGGCCAAAGCACCACAGGTCAGGTGCATTGCTTTGACCAATCACAATGCATTGTGGCGGGCAAACAGCTTACCGAATGCCCATTTGTGTGTTTGCCGAACACCAGGTCATCACTACTCAGTAGTCATGTGCTCTCAGCCCTCAAATATATACCCTCAAATATTTTAAAAAATTATCATTTTTAAAAGTGGAAAACATGCCCTTTGCTCTATCAGACATTCCTGTTGATTACTTTGCCTACTGTGCCTCAGAAGACTATTGAGTTTCTGAGATAAGTCTGCATTTCGCTAAAAAAACAGCTAGGCAGCTGTGACAGTTCTGACACTGATCCGGATGAGTGGGGGGGTAGAGCAGGGCATGGGATGTAAACAGAGTTTCAACTATCTAAAAGCAGAAAACCTACAAATGAGTGTATAGCATTTAATTTTCAGGTTGATAAAAAGTTAACAATGTTGCTGTAATGCATACAGGTTCTGTGCATTTGCCCATATCCACTGCAGTGCATTGCAGTAACAATGCATTTATTCTCAATGGCACCCTGATTTACTAGGGCAGGGGTGTCCAAACTATAGCCCTCCAGGTGTTGAGGAACTGCAAGGCCCATGAGGCCTTGCAAGACTCTAACACCCACAGGCAAGACACACAGAGGCAGAGGCATGATGGGACTTCTAGTACTTCAAAAAGCTGGAGGGCCATAGTTTGTACACCCCTGTACTAGGGCAATGCACCTCAGATGCACATGTAATAAAATAGTGCATGTCTTCTTTTCAGTCATACACGTTAATGCACAACATATTAGGGAGAATGCAATAAATCAGTTATGAAACTTTTCTGGCGATACAACCCTTTAAAATAGTCTGTGCCTAAATCAGAAAAACGTTGTTGTGGCACTTTCGTTGGGAGATCCGACAAGTGCAACAGATTCACGTAGTTCTTATTTCTACCACTTCTGTCACTACGGTTGATAAACAAACTGGGGAGATTAGGACCAACTGTGAGTTGACGTACAGAGAGATGCTAGTGCTTCCTGCACCAGGCTTCCAGGGCAGCTGGCTTCCTAGCAAATGATGACATTTCCTAGGGCCTATTCAGCTGATGGCCATGTTATTTCCTGGCTGACAGATGAATGTAAACAAAGAGATTAGGATGTTGGTGATGTTATTGCTCAAATAGGGCAAGGACAGTAATCTCCCTGCCTGCAGCTGAATGGGCAGACAGTGTCCTAGCAATCAATGATGTGTGCCACAAGGACGGTGGGTAGAGCCTGATGGGAAATTCTGAGAGAATAGTACCCCATCAAGTCACTCAGATACCTTGGAATTGACAGTGGACAGCAGTGGGCAGATTCCAAAGCTGCTATTCAGTCAAATAGTGGCAATGGTATATGTCCAATGCAGGGGCTGACTGACCATTTGGAAACTCGGGCACTGCCCGAGGGCCCGGGGTCAGTAGGGGGCCCCATGAGATGCCCCTGGTACCTTTTTTCTAAGGCTTTTTTGAGTTTGGGCAAGGACACAGGGGCCCCATGATCCCCTATTGCCCAGGGGCCCCATGAGTTGTCAGTCCACCCCTGGTCCAATGACATTCTTTATGAATTTCACTGAATGTGTATTAAAGCATATGTGTCAGTGCAAGTTGCAAAGTTGCATACATTTCTTTTTATTTTAAGACACTGAAAACTCTCACTCTCTTCCTCTCAAAATAATTTATTTTTGTGTGTATGTGCTGTATATGTGTCTGCTTTTCAGATTCAGTCACCCAAGTAGACATACGAACAATGTACTAACATAAAAATACTACTTTTTTATGGTTCTTATTCTTCTTTTTATTACTGTTCTGATTCTCAGAATCATAAAATCAACGATCTACAAATCACAACAATTGTTATAAAAGAAATTCTTATTTGTGCACTGCTACTGCCAAGAGGATTGACAGCTTAAATGACAGAGAAAGTCAAAAGGAAGATAGTAAAAGGGCAAGGCATTTTTCAGTGATATGTCTAATTATTGGAAACAGTATGCATTTGTTGGTAGGCTGCAGATCTCATTGTACATTGCTAAAAATGTTGCTTTGGAAAGTCTGAATTGGATGTCAAAAGTTGTGCACACACAATATGAAAATCCATGGAATTTTTCTTCTGATTTTCTCATAGTGTGTACCCCACCTAATATTATGCTACAAAATTCATGTCTGTAATTTAATGTGATAAAAAGATTCATACTTGCTGGTGAATCATTTTAGGACTCACGAGGAGACAATTAAGAGAAGATGACCCACCATGACATATCAAAAAGAAACTATGTCATCAAGAATAATATAGCAAAGGATAAGTGTTAGTTAGGCAGGTAAGAAACTGTTATTTTTACCACCATACTTTATTCCTCTTTACCAAGCCCATCCATATTCCTGTCTTCTCATCATCATATCAGCCACATTCCAATTCCTGCACAACTATATCCACTGGTGGCTTTTTTTTTTTTATTCAAAGTTCTTCAAACAATTCAAAGCACAGATTCTTGTGTATCTTCATTTTATTCACTGGATTCATGGGTAAATGCTCAGATTCAGCAAGCTCCAAAGGTGCTCTTTCCATTGTCATTATCCTTCTTTGGATGGGTCATACTATATGTAAAGGTTTTCTAATGTACTCTGCTATGTACTTAAAATAATATTGTTGTTAATCCACCACCATCTGCCGTTGTCATGCCTTCCAATGACTGCCATCAATGTTAGGGGGAATATCACCACTGATTACCTACATAAGGGTAACTTAACCACAAGTCACCAGTGTAAGGGGGCACCTCTCCCCTGACCACCAATGTAAGGGGTTACTTTACTGACCATCAATGTAAGGAAGCACTTATGTGCTGAACATGAATGTGATGGGGCATGTCACCAACCACAAAGATAAGGAGTACTTTATCACTGACCTCTAATGTAAGGGAATACTACTCCACTGACCACAAATTTAACAGGAAACGTATTTATGTCTGAGGTGTTCACTGTGCAGAGTGTTCATTGAATACCTCAGACATACTCTTGATCATCAGTGTATGTTTTCTAGCTATTAATATTATTTGCTTAATTTCATGAATATTATGATACACAAATTTGCCTTATAGTGCTAAAAATATATTCTGCCCCTTGAGTGTCAAATGCTCTAGCTGAACAATGAATTAATAATGGATTAAATATGTAGAATATTACTAAATCATGTGAAAGAGGATCTACAAAGAGAGTACAGGATTTAGACCAAAATAAGTACCACAACTATCCAACCCACAGTCAAAATTAAAACAGTGGGTGTACATACATGAGATAATATACTTTTACACTGGATTTCTTTCTGACTGTAGCTCACTCTTAACATTTTAGCATTAGTCTTTTTTTTTGCCATGGTGAAGTTAAAAACGAAGCATACAACTACTACTACTATTACTACTACTACTTTTAATAATAATATTATATTATTATTATTATTATTATTATTATTATATTAATAATAATAATAATAATAATAATAATAATTCTCTCCAACTCTAAAAATGTGACCGTTTCAGTTAAATAAAACATTTGCTCTGTTTAATCTCTTAACATGATAGTTGTTCCTCCCCCAAGTCTGCCATATTTCAAGGTTGTCTTCAGATACCATGTCATTATTTATCATCAGGGACTTCGCTTCATATTTAAACTTCATTTTAAGTTGATTTGTCATGTCAAGAATTTTTATTTGTGTGTACTTTATAGCATATTTGATACATCTAATCTCAATGCATTTCCTGTTTCGTGACATAAAGGTACACTCTGTGTGTTCAGCTGTGTTAAGATGTTTCAATCATTGTTAAATGACCTTGAAAACTCATTACCTGGCTTTATAGCTGTTGTCAACCCATAACACAAGCTGGAATCTTTCCTTTAGAAAAAAAAGTGTTCAGCCATATGTCAAGGCACCGGTCTTTAGTGCTTTCATTTTTACATGTGCCTCAGACACAAAGAGATTAAGTGAAAATGAATGCATCCAATTTTATATCATTGTAATATAATTATGTATGTAAATATACGTGACAAAAAAAAAAAGCAGAACAAATGGCAGGTTTTGCAGATATCTGACAGCTATTCACAGTGAACCGCATCTCCCTCAGCATAATGGTAGAGTTCATTGCATCCTACGTGACAGAAAGGCACACAACTGTCATTATCCCTTTTAGAATAGAAATGGGTGGTCATATACTGTATGCAAGTTAAACTGTAGGTATAGACAAAAAACTGTTAAATGCAACATTGCAAAGCTTATGTGTGAGTGGTTGTATGTGCCAAAAAAGTTACCATTTTGCTTCACTTATTTTGTAATACCAACATCCCTTAAAGACACTTTAACCAGGGCCACTGCAGTAAAAGCAATACAGCATGGTCAATGGAAGAAGCACAAGCTGACCAATGGGTTCATTTCTGTCTGCAGGTAATGGGATACACACCATTACACATAACTACTGTGGTTGGTGCTATAAACCAAAAAGAAACAAAAACATCTTTAAAGCATAAATCTTCATCTAAAAAGAACAAAAAATGTAAGCATTAACTTAACTTCCAATGCTAATGTAGGGCTACCCCCCTTAGGAACCGCTGTATGATTGCCCAGTATTCATTTCCCAATAGTTACACAGCAGACAAACACACTGTTCCAGTCACTTTTCAGGCTCACTAACCAGTCTAGGGGTATGATACTTTAATGAAATCTTGAACTTGGATAGGTAGATTGTAGCTGTAGGATACTCCACTAACTCATTTCAAAGAACTTGAGGACACTACTCTTCCTCTTTAAAACGTGAGTCATTGCTTGCAGCAAATATTGGACTGAGCTTTTCAGGAACACTATAATAGTGCATTCCCTTTCAGTGGAGCTGAAAAAGACTAACTCTATTGCAAGAGGTATAGAAGCAGCACACAGTCTCAGGGATCTCTCACACAGGTCTTAACTCACTAAAAGCCTTGGATAATTGGATAACTTCTTCCAATATCTTCCAGACTCCCTTTTTTCAGTGATACCAGACTAGATCCCTAAGGAGGAAAATCCTCTTGGTCACCCATGAGGTCTAAAGAACACCAAACTGAGTGAAAAGAACGGGGATTCATATTGAACACATTGCCAACCTCATTTCTCCAAAATTCACAAGTCAGTGATGAAAATGGTCAGATTTAAATATTTTGTTTATGCTAGACATTCATGGTATTTAACACATTTTACAAAAGAATACATTCCAGTTTACAGCACTTTTGACAGGACACAGGCCCAATGTCATTAAACCCTAATAATAGTCTCTTTAGCCAGAACCCATTAGTAGCCGCACAAAGCTCCATTAAGACAAAGTCTAAGAAATTTCTAAGAGAGAAAAAAATCAGTTCAAACCAAACATGCCTATGCTAAAATGTTCAGATGGAGAATGAGACCCATTACAACTTCCAAGAAAAATAGTCACAAGAACCATATCATGTTTGACATCCATCAAATAGTGATTTCATGCTATTAATTATTTCAGGTCAATTTATGTATTTATACGCTTTACGTATATATTATACACTCACAACAGCCCCTAACCCTCAAAGAGCGTACAATCTAAGGTCCCTAACTCACATTCATATATACTAGGGCTAATTTAGAAAGGAGCCAATTAACCTACCAGCATGTCTTTGGAGTGTAGGAGGAAACCGGAGTACCCAGAGGAAACCCACTCAGGCACAGGGAGAACATGCAAACTCCAGGCAGGTGGTACCATACGAAAGTGCTAACCATGTAGCTACTGTGCTGCCCATTTTATTTAATAATACATTGGTTGCTGGGCACATAAAACATGGTCATCCAGAAATACTGATATAATTAGAAAAATTTGCATTGAGAGAGTACCTGCTGAACTATCAGAAGTGCTTCAGTACTCCTACATCACACCTCTCCTCAGATCTCTTGAATGGGTAAGGGCTATTTCAGTATCAACAAAAATTTGGTGCAACTGGCATCTGTAAGCTTTTGTCTCAATCAAAGCTATGTAAGAATTCTGAGAATCATTTATGAGAGCCAATGACTCACCAGATTGGTTACTAAAATCCAGTAAAACTTTGCTAAGTATTTTTAATGTATAATCAGTTTAGTTAAGTGTTCTTGCATGGCAAGACCACTTACTGTTATCTCACATATATATTCTTATTATTATAGCCAAATTTACCACCCTAACTCCTCCCACAGTTTTTACACTACATAGACAGTAATATACCGAAACGTGCAGATTGTTCCCGATTGGTGTGCTATTACTTTGTGGAACGTTTCGCCGAACGTTTCAGCGTTTATGTGGTGAAATTGGTCCCATAGGAATGAATGGCGGAATGTTCAAAACTAGAGTGGGAGCTGACAAAACCTTTTCACAGTTACTCCAGCCACTCCAACCACACAACAGTTACTCAAGCCACTCCACCGAGTTACTGCGCCCACTCCAGTTGTAGACTGCTGGTGGAGGCAAGAACACTTCACACAATTTCCCCAGAAATTGTAGCTTTTTTAGTTTTGCTGTTGTTATTCTCTATTTTATAATATATTTTTAATATGAATATTTTATTGCACCTTTTTTTCTTGTT